GTTATGTGTTGGGCTTTAAGTGATACGCTTGGGTTGTTCAATATGTGGCTATGACCTTTGTGGCCTAACCGCGTCAAACTAGTAATCTGAAAAATATGTATTATTTGTCTATAATATGTCGTGGTACCAAGCATGCATATTTTTAAGGTATTATTTTTCATTTTCACAAAAATAATTAATTTATTATTTCTACTCTATGTTGTTACTTGTAAGCATTTTTTTTTTTTTTTGGAATTTTATCGATGGGCGGATTGGTTTTATGCAGATGCGAAATGGTTGATCTACATCCGAACCGTATCTATAAATTTGAAATATTTCATCTGCATCCGTTCGCTGAAAGACACGCATCAGCCCAACGATTAGGTCGGTTCGATCAGGTTGAGTGAGTTGGACAGATCCATGATACCCCTAACTACAATAGTTTTATTTTTTTAAATCAGACTCTATTTGTCAGCTAATTTTTTATTTTTATTTTTATCCATTTGATAATGCTAATTTAGCTTAGGAGATGAAAAAATAATATTCGCACTCAATTTTATCACAAACAAAAGAAATTAATTTTTAAACATTTTTTTTCTACCACACCAACTTTTTTACAACTATTTTTTATTCAAATAAAAGTAAAAAAAACTACTAAAAAAGTATATGCTGAACCCCACCTTTGTTTATTGCTTGATGAATCACTCTTACATTAATAATAAACATGAATAATGAGATTTACCAAACTTATACATTAATATTACATGAGATAGTAAACAACATCTTGAATACAAAATTATGTGCAGGATTTTCTACAGTTTTATATTGTTTGATCCAATCTAGACGATGGAAGCCATCACAAGCCCACTTAAATAATGTAATTCATCAAAAAAAATTATGGGGAACTTACTAATAAGCCCATGTAACAAGTTCAAAACCCAACTAATCCCAAAACAAAATACTTGCACCAATTAGTCCAACACATTTTTAATTTTACCAAAAAATCTTTTTTTTTTTTTTTAATTTATAGACACTGTTCACATCTTACTACCGTCGACTTCCGTTTAACGGTCGCGCGGAGACTCACCGGAATGTCTAGAATATTGCCGGAAAAAAAAATAAAAAAACATGTTATGAAACTGTAAAATTTTACAAGTTCTAAAGAATGTTATAAAACTGCAAAATTTTACAGTTTTAAACCATGATTCATTCCAGCACCAAAAAAAAAAATTTGAAACTGCAAAATTTTACAGTTTTCACCGCCTGTAACTAAAACTCGAAAACTGCTTGTTCAGAATTCGAAAATTTTCTCCATTAGAACAGAAAAACAGAAGTGTATAGCAGAGAGAGAAAAAAAAAAGAGATCGAAGGGGAAAGACGGATGTCTAACCAAATTTGTGTAGATCTACTCAGATCTGATGTAGATCTGAGTAGATCTATATCAGATCTAAGTAGATCCATTCATCTTCTTCGTCGGAAAATATATCATCTTCTTCGTCGGAGTTGATTTCAATGCTTGGTGGTTATCAATGAACCCCGATCAATGGAGAAAGATATGATCACCGGTGGTCCTCTTCCATGACAAACACGGTGACAGAAAAATGTAGAAAAAAAACGAGAGAGAAAGGGAAGCAAAAAGCAGAGAGAGAGAGGGGAAAGGACTTTTGGGTGTAGTGAAAAAGTTATGGGATTAAATGGAGATCACATGTTTCCCATGGGACCTATGGGTAATTTCCCCAAAAATTATACTCATGCAATAGTTATAATTTAAAGAAATCTTATTTGATGTCTATTTTTTGAAAATATAAAAATAAAACCTCCTGAATATAATTATTAAATTAATTTAATTTTGATAATAATGTATACAAGATCCTTTTTGTGGAAAACATACGTCATGAGCTACATGATCCAGTAGAAAGGTGGGGGCCTGATAAGTGGTGGCACGATGCGCGGCTCTGTTTTTTAAGTCATTTTTACATTTTTCGCATCAAAATTATGAGTTAAAATGTTTGTCATTTAATAACCTTAAAATAAAAAATTAAAAAAAAAAACCACTCACTTAATCCAAAAAAAAAAAAACACAGTTAGAGGTCAATTTCTAAAATTATTGAGTAATAGGCTCAAGTTTAAATTTTTTGAAGTTAAAAGAATATTATTTATCAAAAAACGCACCTATATGTTAAGAGTTTATCAATATGTATATTTGTTTGAAAATTACATATTTATATACATATTATTTATCTGTTTAATTATGTGTTCAGTTTGTACACGTGTCATTCATATATTTAATTATTTATACATATATTATCTATTTATTCATCTATATGTCCAATATGACTAATCTATTCATCTCATTGCCACAAAATGCCATCAGCGATTCGTAAAAAATAAAAATTAAAACTTGGACAAAGTGGCATATCATTAAATACTAATTAATAAAAAAAAGAAAAAAAAACAGAGATGCGACTTTCCTTGTAAAAAACAAAAATTAAAACTTGGACAAAGTGGCATATCACTAATTAATAAAAAAAGAAATGTCCTGAGGCTTACAATAAAAGAGAGGACATTACTCTTTACAAAAAAAAAAAAAAAAAAAAAAAAAAAACCCACCCAAAAAAAAAAAAAAAAAAAGAATAATGCTTGAGACCACTAAAAGTGGTGCTCTAAAAGCACCACTAGTGATGTGGCACTGGACGGGACCCACTGTTTGTGTCTTGTTTTTTTTTTTTTTTTTTGTTAAAATGCTTGCCAACTCATTAGTGGTGTTTTAGACCACCACTTTTAGTAGGATGTATCATTACCCTAAATGCACTCTCTGGAGAAATTATTTCGTGATTCTGAGGCAGTGTCACGTGTGCATTGTGTTTGTTGTGATTAATAGAAAATGTGGAATTCATAATTTTATATTGAGTAATTAGTAAATATAATAAATACAATAATTTATAATTGGTTAGCAATGGGATGTGAGTTTGCTTTTCGACTTTTTGACGTTTTAACTATTTTGCCTTAGAGTTTAAAAACCTTGTTTGTGATAGACTTTTTAACTTTTTTGGCTTTTGTGAAATAAAAAATGAAATGATTATATTTTAGATGTGATATTTTGTCTTATTGGATTAAAAAGTTTATTTTGTCTTTTTGTGACTAAAATAGCTAAAAATTCAAAACGTCTGAGAAATTCTATTTTCACACAATACTTCATCTCTTTCCACACACTTAATGATTTTTTTTATTACATTTTTGTTTTAAAATTAAATTACCAAAATATCCCTTTCCCAAAATCCCAACTCTAACTTTCTCAAATCATCAGTTTCTATCATCACATCCATTGCCACCGCCTCTCCTCTCTTCCACTTTTTTCACCGCCTCTTCCCCACCACTACGACCCCTCTTTGCTTGAGAAAAAGATCGGCGCACCATTGCGATCTCCCTCTGCCTTCATTGCCCACCACAACTATCTTCCTTCGCTTTCGTCTTTTTCCCGCTGCCAAGCGAATTACCACTGCCTCCACTTTCTATCCTCTTCCTGACTATGAGAGAGAGGGGGGGATCGATCTCAAGGGAAGAAGGTTGAGGTCGCGATGGTGGCACTGGTAGCAACCTTACTTCATGATTAAGAGAGAGAGGAAATCAAAGATCGATTTCGGCGATGGAGGTCGCAGAAGTGGCGCTGGCGAGTGGAAGGAGGTTTTGAGGTAACGACTGGAAGTGAAAGGGAGGAGAAGAGGTACCAGTGGCGGCAGCGGCAACAGTAGTGATAGCTTGTTAGGGTTAGAGTTTGGATAATGAAAATGGTGAGGGCATTTTTGATATGATAGAATGTGTATTGAGTGAAAGTTGATTTTATTTGATATGCATTAAGAAAAGATATGAAAAAAAAAAAATCAGTATGCTTGGTTTGAGTTTTCTGGATTAATTTTTTTGAAAATTGAGTTTTTTAGTTTTGCATATTTTTTGTTTTTAGTGAATATTTTTAAAATTTTAAACATTTTTTTACTTTGTTAGATGCATCTTACTTAGATGTATCTAAAAAGTAAAAAATTTGTGAAAAAAATATTTTAAAAAATTAATAAATACATAAAAATACAAAAAAATGTACTGAATTCTTATATTTTTTTTGTATTTAGTAAATTTTTAAAATATTTTTTTTACAATTTTTTTACTTTTTAGGTGTATTTATGTTAGGTGTATCTAAAAAGTAAAAAAAATTGCTTAAAAAATTGAGTAAAAATAAAAAAACACAAAAACTAAAAAAGTAAAATTTTCTAAAAAGTATGTTTGTAAAAATAAAACCAAGCAAGCTAAAATGTGTAAAAATAACATGACGAGGATGGACCAAGTAAGGGTTAGTTTGGGATCTTTAAAAAAAATTAAAAAGTCACTGTCTTACTAAAATAATATCATCTTATTTAAGTCACATCATCTCTCTCACACATCACTTCAAATCTAACTCAAACCTAACCCATATTTCATAAAAAATTAAAAAATACACTTATTTAGATCATCCAAAGAATCGCTAAATAATTTTTCCTCTCTTTCTGTCTCACCTCACCTCGCCTCCACTATCCCCCTCTCTCTCTCTCTCTCTCTCTTTCTCTCTCTGTCACAGGACTCACAGTGGTGTTATGTATATTCATTGCAACCGCTACCAGACCCAATAAACAACAATTCTCTATTTCTACATTCTCTCTCTCTCTCTCTCTCTCTCTCTCTCTCAATATCATATGAATCTGTAAATTCGTATATGTAGAGATTTTTCTGCTGGAAAATGTAAGGTAGAGCTTGAAGAAGAAGAAGAGACAGAGAGAGACGATAGTTAGCTGAAGAATTAGGGCTTTTGTAATTGATCGGAGGACGAAGAGAATGCCATTGCCTCGGTATCAGATAAGGAATGAGTACAGCTTGGCTGATCCAGAGCTGTACCGAGCCGCCGATAAGGATGATCCTGAAGCTCTCCTTGAAGGTGTGGCCATGGCCGGTCTCGTTGGCGTCTTGCGTCAGCTCGGCGACCTAGCTGAGTGAGTCTTCCTCTTTCTTCTTCTCTCTTCTACTTTGAGTTGCGTTTGAGTTTTGAATTTGGATTAATTTATGTGCAAATAGTGCCTCAATTTGGGTTTCTTTGTTGATTATTGTACAATTCCGGTGAACAAATGTTTGTGAATTGGGAATTTTGGGTCTGAGATCTGTTGGAATCGGTTTTGTTTGGGTTTGTGGTTGGATTGAAGATTTAACACGAGAGAATGAAAGTTTAAATTGGTTGTTAATTTGGGAAATAGCTTAATTGGGTGATTGCATCAAACCAAAGGAGCATGTTAAGTAGTAGAATTGATCTGGGAAAATACCAACAAAAAAATTCAGATTGGAATTTGAAGAAATTAAAGAATAAGAGCACGGAATTTTTCTGAGTTCAACCTTGGAAATCAAGAATCTGTTTTTGGTGGTCTGGATTCTTGCATTTCATTGTCATATAATTTATTTTATGCATACAAGTGGATGAGTTTATAGTTGTCAGATATGCATTTAATTAGATATGACTGCACCAGAACCATGTCATTGTCATCTTGAATCTTATTGCAGCCATTTTCCTTGTATTTTTACTCAACTAGCATGGTATGTTAGCAGTCCTAGTGTCTTATGAGTTCAACCCCCTAGTTCAAGTCCTTTAATGTAGGAACTTCAACCTACTAAGCTGGTTAGAGATGAGTTTACTGAAGCAAGCATGACAATGTTCTTGTTTGGCACCTTAAAGTAAACAAGTTGTAAAGCTAGACTTGAGAGCATTTTTTGCGTAATAGGCAAATGAGCTTGGATGAGCCACTTGACTGGCATAGCCGGAGAAGTGCTATACTTTTGAACTCCACATGGGAATCGTGATTTTGTATTATGGTATCATAGATGTTGCAGTATTTATTGCATAATTTTTTTTTGAGGTATGCAAGATGCAAGATATGCTGTTAAGTGTTAACATTGCATGAGATTGGGGATTACTGTTGTTCCTGCAATATGTTGGAAAAATATTTTGTCATTATTGCGGCATTTTCAAATATGTGATTAGCTAGCTATATGTCGAAGCAAGAACATGATCTATGATGTCTCAACTTTTTGTATAAAATGTCTTATCATCGAGGTAATATAAAAAAAAGCTTGGGGGATCATTGATTCTCGGTCCCTGCAGAAGAATTGTCAAAGTCATGTACACTGCAGGTTGGGTGGCTTCTTTCGGTCTTTTCTGTGACCCTAATTTCGTTGTCACAACTCACTATCCACTGGAATTACAGTTTCTTGTACTTATCATTTATAATTTTTTACATGAGGTATCTTTATGATTGCTTGTTTCTTGTGATTTCGGAAGGTTTGCTGCCGAGATATTTCATGACTTGCATGAAGAAGTGATGGCTACTTCTGCAAGAGGCCATGGTTTAATGGTTCGTGTCCAACAGCTTGAGGCAGAATTTCCCTCAATCGAGAAGGCATTTCTCTCCCAGACCAATCATTCATCTTTCTTTTACAATACTGGTTAGAATTCTCTCCTAACATAACTGCTCAATTTGAAACCTTGTGTCCTTGGAGGCAAGCTCAAATTGATTATTTTTCTGGCTCATGGTCATTTAGTTGCATCCAAGAATATCCAACACATCAACTTAGGATTTTATTTTTATGTCAATTAAACTGCCTAGCATTACACTCTGCATATAGCAATCCTTGAACTGTTATTCTTTGAGAATATTAAATGAATACACTGAATGAGAGCTCTCATGTCTGGAGTCCAACCAGAAAGGCCTTATATGACATGATCATAGTAATGTGAATGTGTAATGTTATTGCAGGTGTTGACTGGCATCCTAATCTGCGTATGGACCAGAGTCTGATCACACAGGGAGATCTACCTCGATTTGTTATGGACTCCTATGAAGAATGCCGGGGTCCACCTCAGTTATTCCTTCTAGACAAGTACGACTTATTGACACAGATTACCAAGGATGTTTCACATTTAGTAAAGGCATATCCCACTTATGGAACAAAAATCTTACTCAATTTACATGGCTTCTAATAGGTTTGATGTTGCGGGTGCTGGTGCATGTTTGAAGCGCTACACTGATCCTTCATTCTTTAAAGTGGACTCATCATCCTCTGGAATGACAAATGCAAAAGTTCAGAGGGAAAAGAAAATCCGCAAAGCTAAGGTAAATCAATGAGAATTATGTTCTAATTTTGCTGCAGAAGTTTCTGATTCAATTCTGCAATCTAGGCCCCATCTACATATGTGGGGAAAAAAACACTTGCACATGACAATACATGCCTTCGCATTAATGTTTGTGGATGGGGAGTCCTTGAAATGATTGTACTAGACCTGTATGGTTAACACTGTAAAGTGTTAGCTATTGACCTCAGAAACTGTCTTTGGGACTTTTGTTCAATGATAGACCTCAGACAGCTGCATTGCCATGTACTTTTAGTGTTGATGCAAATTTTTGCTTCACCCCTTTTGATTTTTAAATTTTGGTGTTTGTTTCTTAAAAAATTAATTTAACTGTCATTCTAGTTTGAATTCTGTTTATTTATAGTTTAGCTATGGAGATATGCTGAATGGTCCTGTTGTCGCACGGACATGCGTGCCCATGGTGTGACATGCCAAGTAGCATGCCAATTTTTTTTAATTATTATTTTTTTGCAGGACACGTTGGGGGCACGTCATAGACACACGTTGGGTTTATGTCATGTTAAAATTGTTGACAACGTTTAAGATTTACACTTATTCTTTATTTTTGGCAGAAGAAAGGATCACACTGGAGGAATGGAGGAACCCCAGAGGTTCTAACAACATCAAATGCCAAGTGAGACCTTTAATTCCATATTGGTGCATGAGTTTTTCTTTGGTTGTTTTACTGTGCCTGTTTTTAGGTGTAAACTATCAATTGGTGATTCATTGCATGATAATGCAGACTGCATCAGTTATTTTTGGAAGAGAGTGTTGAGAATCATATCAATGACCCTGCACGTCGTGTGAAACTGAAGAGGAGGCTGAATGGATTTCCATTTGGCTCAAAAACCGGGAAAAGTTACATGGAACAATTCTTGAAGAGTCCTACACCTGATAGTAATGTTCGTGAAATCTCTGTTAACTTGTCGCCCTTAAAATTGCCATCCAATATTACTGGTGAATCCGGGATTGAAGTTCTTGAAATCAGTACAGTTAGTCCTGATAAAGAATTAGTGCACCCATGTTCATCTCCTGATGTTGAGGAGACAGGACGAAAACCAACCATCGATGAGCTGAGTGAGGAGGTCGAGTATGGAATTTCTGAAGTGCCTGGACTGAACCCTATTTCTGAAGCAGATAATGTTCTGTCCACACTTCATGAAGATGTAGATGAAAAGGAAATAGCAGTTGACAGGGGAAGGAAAATAGAAGGCAGTGTAGATGGTTACCAATCTGATGATATTGCAAGTGAGGTAGACAATTATATGGATGCCCTTACTACCATGGATTCAGAGATGGAAACCGACACTGAGTGTAAAGCCAAGAATGATCTGCATTTCTTGAATGTTGAAAATCAGGGGATAGATTCTGATGCAAATGAAGAACAGCGGGACATTCAAGCTCATTTTTCAGATTCTCAATCAATAGGAAACTCCACTGCAACAGATGATGGAAACAGCTCATCCAAAAAAGGACTATTTAGTTTTTCATTTTCTGATTCTCTAAGCAATTCGACTGAGAATATGCTATCTGATGGGGATGTTTCAGCTAAAGCTCTCCAATCTACTGAAATTTGTGAATTTGAGATTGTTAACATGGCATCTGACAGGCATACTGTCAATGAGGAGAGTCCATTGACCCAAGCTCCAAAGCACATGGCCTGTGATGGTGTTTGCAATGAAGAAGCCAATATCCCAAGTTACAGGCCTGAATTTGCAGAACCATCCTCTATTTCCTGTCATGCTGATTCAACTCCCATGCTTGTACCTGTAGATCCAGTAAAAAGTTTGATGGAATGTTCATCAGTGGAACCGGAATTGGATGAAATATCTTCCAATAATGAACTTAATACAAAATATAGTAATCTGGAAGAGAATACAGCATATCTGGGAGAAAATTTACCCTGCACATCTAATCTCTCTGATAGTCCTTCCCAAACGCGAGATGATTTCCCCCCTGAGCTGTCTTCTGAACACCATCATGCGGATGAGTTTGATGATGAGGATCCACACACATTATCTCATGCTTCACAGCAACTTTCAAACATCTTGGAGCCAGCTGCTCATGGAAAGAATAGTAATGAAAGTTTGGTAGATGATTCACTTCAAGCAGAATACGCAGAAGATGAATGTCCCGAAATTTCGGTTGACATTCAGATTGACTCACCACATTCAGTTGCTTCACATGCAGAAGAGCAGCATCTTGATTCAGCCTTCCCAGAACTGGAAACTTGTCATCCTGATATGAAGCCTGATGGCATAGTTTCTAAAGTAGATGATGCTCCTCCAATGCCCGAGGAGAAAGCAATTAGCTCAACTCCGACGGTGGATAATCTAGAGGCTACTAGCTTTACAAAGCAGCAGTTCCTAGGAATATCAGAAAATATTTCCCCACATGAACTTGATTCAGCAGAAGTGGGTTTTTCATATTCTAGAGAGAAAAATCTTGATGCGGCTTCCAATGCAGCAGATTGTGAAGAATCGGGTGGATTCTCCACTGACATGGATATCATTGGAAAGGATGATAGCAGCCTTAAATTTTCACCTGATTTTCAAAGCTCTCCAGATCCTCCACCAGTTCCCAATGTGCATTTAGATGATGTAGTAACTGAAACTGTTCATTCCGAAGTTGTGATTGTGGCTACTGCTGTTGTTGGCTCACATTGTGATGATAATGAAGACGACAGCAAGTCTTGTACTACCAGTCCCACAAAATTGCAAGAAGAATCTATTACTATTCTTGAGGATTTACATCAGAATAGTATGGAAATCAACAAGGCATGTTCCCCAGAGCATCTTCAAGAATCTTGCACAGAAAAGGAGGTGGATCAACAGGCAGTTGCTTCATCAAATTTGGATTCTGTTTTGTGCAATACAGTTTCTTGTGATGATTCTAATTCAGAATTCCTCAATAGTGTTATTGACTCTTCTAAGGTTGCAACATCCAGAAACAGTTTGCATATTGCTGATGCTACCACAGTCCCATTGTCTTCAGATCAACATGACCAAGATTCAGAGTCAAAATCTGCCCAGAAGATTAATGCTATTGAGATTGCAGAAGATACTGTATCTTCACCTACCCATCATAATGCAGAGCTAAAAATGCATATTGCTGATGCTACGACAGTCCCATTGTCTTCAGATCAACATGACCAAGATTCAGAGTCAAAACCTGCCCAGAAGATTAATGCTATTGAGATTGCAGAAGATATTGTATCTTCACCTACCCATCATAATGCAGAGCTAAAAATGCATATTGCTGATGCTACGACAGTCCCATTGTCTTCAGATCAACATGATCAAGATTCAGTGTCAAAATCTGCCCAGAAGATTAATGCTATTGAGATTGCAGAAGACACTGTATCTTCACCTATCCATCATAATGCAGAGCTAAGAACTCCATTGGAGCAAAAGGTTGAGTTACAAGATGATCAATTTGATGTGGAATCATGGGGTGAGCAAGATTCAGAATCAAAATCTGCCCTTCAGATTCATGTTGTTGAGAAAGCAGAAGATGCTGCATCTTCACCTACCCATCATATTGCAGAGCTAACAACTCCTTTGGAACAAAAGATTGACTTACAAGATGATCAATTTGATGTAGAATATTGGCATGCAGACCAAGCAAGCTCCGAGCCATTTTCTCTGGTGGATCAAATACAATCTCCAAATTACCTGGATCAGGAAAGATACACTGATGCTTCGTCCGAATTTTGTGCAGCACAACCTCCTGTGTCGGAGTTCTTTCCACAACTTGATGTCTCTGAGCAAGCCAAGGATTCTGGCCTGCTTCCTGAGGTATCTCAAATCAATTTGGATGAGATGCCTCCATTGCCACCTCTTCCTCCAATGCAGTGGAGGTTAGGGAAGGTCCAAAATGCTTCCCTAGCTTCAGAGAGAGATTTTGTAGGACATAATCCGGGTTCCTTTCCACCAATATTGCCATCTACAGCTGATGCAAAAACTCAATTGTGTCATCCAGCAATAGAGGGAGAAATTATTCAACCTTCAAACCCATTTTTGCCAATCTCAACTTTAAAAGATGAGAATTCTCAACATGGTTGTAACAACTTAGTGGGTTATATGGTGCATTACGATACATCGTCATTGCAAGTGCCAACCATGGTTAATCACAGAAATAGTGAAGACGATTTCTCATCTTCAATTAGAACACAAACCACAAACCCATTCTTAAAGCTGCCAACAATATATAGTGAAAGTTCAGAACATGGTTTCCTCACTTCTGAGGGAGAAACAGCACAGCCTAGTGTGAATCCATTCTCACCAGTGACCAATGTTGGAGATACAGTTTTTACGTTTGCTTCCGGGTCTTTGCCGAAAAAACTGGTTCAGCCTCTGCATCAATCAGCACCAGAAACAAGTTTGGAGGATGAGAAGCTTCAGAGTACCTCTGTAATTTCTGATGGGAAACCGGTTGTGCAGGATGACCAGCCCCAGCATGTTTTTTCAACTTCGGAAGGACAAACTGATTGGTCAATGGGTGCATGTGTTCCACTTCCACCTTTTGAAGATGGAAAGCCAAATGGAAATAGGCCGATGAAGCTTCCAAGACCTCCAAAACCTCTCATTGATGCTGTCGCTGCCCATGACAAAAGCAAGGTAATGATGGTTTTTTTCAGCTATCACTTTTGTCAGCTCGTTAATGTGCATAAGATTTAGTACAGTAAATGCTTTCTAATGGTGAGTCATGCAGATGAAGAAGGTAACGGAACGGGTTCGGCCTCAGATTGGACAGAAGGCTGATGAAAGAGATTCACTACTGGAACAAATACGAACCAAGGTAAAGTGAATATTTTTTTCCCACTGTTCCACTTACAATAGCATGTTCCTTTCTACCGCATTGTTTAAATTAACATGTTTACATGTACATAATTTGTTTGTGCTGCTGACGGTATTTGATCTTGGTTCCTTCAGTCTTTCAACTTGAAACCTGCAACCTTGGCAAGACCCAGCATTCAGGGTCCTAATACCAATTTAAAAGTTGCTGCCATTTTGGAGAAAGCTAATGCTATTCGCCAGGTTTCTCTCTCTCTCTATATATATATATATACATATATCATGCGCATACATTACAATTACATGATACGATACAATGTGATTCAAAAAAATAAAAAAATGATACACAATTCTTATCTTGATTTGACAACTATGATTAGGATATGTCTACTGAGATATTGAAGCTGACGATATTTTGAAATAGGCATTTGCTGGAAGTGATGATGAAGATGATGATGAAGATAGCTGGAGTGATTCATAAAAAAATTATTTTCTAGGGATGCTTTTGCGTTGAGATAATTACGATGAAGTGTATTGTGATTCTTGAAGCCGAATGCTTAGGATTTTTGGCTCTTGGGTCTCCAATATGCTGTATTCTTTTCCTGCTCTACTGTAGCTCCGATTCTCCATGTATGATATTTCTTCTCTCTGTCTCTCTCAGATGTAGTTATTAGTGGTTGTGTCCTGCCCACAGAAATTTGTGGGGGTTACCTACGTGATATACGAGTGAGAGTTGAGGTGTAGCGTGCAAGCGCTTTATTGTTCAATTTCTATGTAGATTTAGGCGGGTATATATTGGATTGGGGGTGTCACGTGATTTCATTTGTAATGCATGTTGTATGCATTTTTTGTAACTAGTATATCAGCATTGTTGTAGCTTGGATTCTATATACTTGAATGCTTTTTTCTAGTCAATGTTCCCTTGGCTTTGCAAATTGTACATTTCTTGAACATATTTACCCTGATTGGATGTGTTCTGCATTCTATGATTGAGCATATTGGCACGTCTTTGCATATATTTCTCGTATTTTTCAGTTATTATAGTTAAGGGGCTGGTGCAGCTGATTTTGGAGGCCCGTGTCAAATGTGCAGTGGCTTCGCCTAATAAAGCTTGAATCAGTTAATATTTGTGCCTTTTTATTTTGGGTAAATTACAAACACACTCTTGGGATTTACTTAAATTACAAATTATTCCTTGTGGTTCTAGAAATTACATTATGCCCCTTAAAGTTTCTAATTTCATAACAAATAGGTCCTTTTATTAATAAATCATGAAGTTAATTAACAGTTTTTAATAATGTAAAAATTTTATTTCAATTAATAATTCAGATAATTTTATTGTTGTATAGGTGAATAGTTAGAAATTTCACTTTTTCAATTAATTCTATTAAATAAAAAAATTCTAAAAGGGAGGTATTTATAATTTTTTAAATTATAAGGAGCAATTTATATTTTAAACAAATTTTAAGAGGTGTATTTGTAATTTATCTTTTTATTTTTTATTTTATGGTGAGAATGGAGGATAATGAGCATTCAATTGCTTGGTTGTCATAGGCAAAAGCTGGATTTTTACTAGTACTACACCAAATGATGTAATTCTAGTTGTGAAAAAAAATGCAAACATGTATAAATTTTATAAATTATTGTTACTCATGGATGAACAGTTGAGTTGTTGTCATATTATTGTAGTGGGTACTATTTCACAGATCAAAAATTCAGTATTGCATGTCATCTTTACAAGTAACACTAGTTTATAAGATTAACAATAAGAGACCAAAAGATTATGTTTGGATTTGAAGCTTTTGTGTTGCCCTTAAACAAGAATGTACTATATAATATATATATATATATATAATTAAACATCAAACTACTTACATTTTGGGTAAATTACACTGACACCATTGAGATTTATATTTATTACAGTTTTCTCCTTCGCTTTTTGAAAATTACATCTCCCTCCTTGAGGTTTAAAGTTTTGTTACAGATTCCTCCCTTCAGCAATTTAATTTCGTTATATACCAATTTTGCCCTCACTGGGTAAATTACATTGACACCCCTCACATTTTTGAAATTATAATCCCCTCCCTAAGGTTTAAAGTAGCATTACTGTGACGCCCCGGTTCTACACCATTGGTTGCAGTCAAAGGAGAGTCACTAATGAGTCCTATGGTCAATAACCAGTAAGATCCCAGATCGCCGGAGGAGTCAGATTAGCCTCCATTCTAAGTCCAGCTTTCTTAGGCAGCGCACTACCCTTTTGACAGATCTTAAAAGGTATTGACACAAGGTCTCATAAGTAACAATAAGGTTCATACATGTAAATATTAAAGTATAAGAGCATAACAACCACGAATATCCTTAATTTCAAAAGTTTGTTCTATTACATTACATCCCAAAAGAAGCTTAAATCCTCACACGAGTCTTACAAAATAACAAAAGGAAATTTCTAGCCTTCCTAAGATAGCCAAAAGTCTTCGAAGGTTTCCGACTCGTCGTCTCCCGCTATAAGTTCCGCTTCGTCACCTGGCATGATACGCCGTGAGCTTTGAATGCCCAATAAACACACACACACACACCCTACCCATTTTTCCCTGTCCAATACACAATCACAATTATAACATCAAGTAGTAAAGCATGATACTCAAATAAATAAATAAAGAGTTGAGTTAGATTGTTAGCAACTAGAAATCCCCCAAAGAGATTTCATCCTCCCAACCATAAGAATTGGACGCGGATTATTCGGTATGCCCCCTCTTTTGCTGCTTTGTTGCAGACCTAACCTCAGATGCCTACCAACGGTTATGTACCATGTAGCGCCAGCCGCAGGGCCTCAAAAGAGACGGTAAAATAGGGCCTTGCCCGAAATCCCTCCTTACACCAAACCATCTAGGGTCCGAATACAACCGCTCCGTTCAAGGGTTCCGAAAAAACCACTTGCGCAAGACTTTAACTTTTCAAATAGAGAACGCATCCCAACAATCCATATATCACATTTCTCATCTTTACATTATTCAAGAGCTCGAAAACCCAATACCCTCCCATTAGGTTTCCCGTTAAATTAAATGTTTTAAATCAAGTTAATCCAACTTACAAGACAATAATATCCACATGAACATGCATCCATAAAGCGAGGAAGATAAATAACATAACCATAATACACATAATAACATGCCAAGATATGCTCATATGTAAGTAGGCAATTTCATGAATTCAAGGGCATAAAACATCCATACAAAACACAGTTTCCAGATTTAATGTCACATGAAGATTGAGATAAAAGGACTATTTCAAATCTTCCACCGGACTCAATCCCCTATGGTTCGTAGAGAATTTGATCTAGTTTCTAGAACACTTTTCAGAAATGGGATTGGTTTTCCAGATTTTAAGTTATTTAGAAAATATTCCAGCGCTGTCCAGAATCTGTCCAGATCCGTCGACCATTACGAAAATTTGATTTTCTTGCAAACCGCTTGATGTTTTTCGATGAAACCAATTTTAGTTGAAAGCTAACATCTTAAGGAAGGTTTTGACAGAAAATAGAGGTCCAGAATAATTTTGTACATTTTTTCTAGAATTTCTGGAAGTGGGCTGCAAAAACAGATTCTAGGGTACTTAGCCCAAAGCAAGAAGATTTATGAAAAAGGGGTTCCACCAAGGGAAAGTTTTCGTTTCTTTTGTGAAGAAAACATGCTAACTAACATATATTTAACTCAGAAAATTTGTTTGAAAGAGTGCCCTTGGAAAGTTGAGAGATTGGTATAAAAAAAAGATGATTTTGTGCCAAAATGGAGAAAATACAAAAGAGATGGAATCAATACTCAACCTTTAGCATTTTTAACATAAGAACTCATTAATAACAGATCTGAAAACATTATTTAGAACCCTTAGAAATATGTATTGAAAAAAGGAAAATGAAAGAGAATGTTGTGTTTGTGGCTTACCTACTAAGCTTTGCACAAGAAGCTCTCTTCTTCCTCCTTCTTCTCCTCTAGACTTCTCTTTCTTTCTCTCCTCCCTCTCTCTAACCGAAATGTATGTGTGAGTGAGTGTGTTGTATGTGTTTGCAAGCTAGGGGGTGTGTTGGTATTTATAGACAAACCTTTGAGGCAAAAAGTCCTAAAAGTCCCTTAGTTGGATATGGATGGAAATGTTAGGATTTGTTTGAATTCTAAAGGAATGGAAGGGATTTTGGGAGGCTTGTTCATTGGTTTAGGCAACTCCTAGTTGTAATGAGACTAGTTCTTGGATTTTGCATCCTAGGTCTAGGTCACTAGGTTGTGTTTTCCTAGAAGTTCATGATGGTGGTTTTTGAAAATTGGCTCCTTCTTGGGAAAGTGTGATGGGGTTATTATTTAAATCATTTTAAGTTCTAGGCACACTCTTCTAGGTGTATATATATATATATATAACAAGATTGATGGTACTTCAAGGTACAAGGTACAAGTACTAGTTTTTGGGGCAAGTTTTGAATTTAAATAAAGAGTGAGGGCTTGGAGTTAAATACATGTAACTTAGGTAGAATTAAATTAGGTTAGGGAACCTAATCCGGTTAGGGAAATTTCTGTTTCGATAAAAATAAAAATAGTAATGCTAACTGACGAGATTCGAATTAATTCAAGTAAACGAGGGGCTTTAAGAAAATAATTCAAACATTAGGGTTTTTAAAGTGAATACATATTTCAGGGGCTTCACAACCTATCCCCCTTAAAACAATTTCGTCCCCGAAATTCAACTACACATTCTTTGAAAATCTCAAGGTAGTTTGCCTTCACCCAATCCTGGCGTTCCCAAGTAGATTCCTCAATTCCCCGATGACGCCATAGCACTTTTACCAAGTGAACCATCTTGCCTCTAAGGTTCTTTTCTCGACGATCTTGTATTACTACCGGTCCTTCTTTAAACGTAACATCTTTGTCAAGACTGATCTCTTCAAATTTGAGGACGTGTGTCGGGTCAGCGATGTATTTTCTCAACATAGATATATGGAAGACGTTGTGGGGGGTAGAGCTAATCTATATGCTACTTTGCCCACTCTTTCTAATACCTCAAAAGGTCCAATATATCGTGGCGATAGCTTCCCCTTTCTCCCAAAACGTACGACTCCACGCCTGGGTTGCACCTTTAGAAACACGTGGCTGCCTACTTCAAACATCAATGGTCTTCTCCTCTTGTCTGCATAATTCTTTTGGCGGTCTTGGGCAGTCTTTAACCGTTGTTGGATCAATTTGACCTTCTCAGTGGTTTCTAGAACAAGTTCGGGTCCTATTAGATTTGCATCACCCACTTCCGTCCAACAAATCGGCGATCTGCAAGGTCGTCCGTATAATGCTTCAAAAGGCGCCATACCGATGCTAGCTTGAAAGCTGTTGTTGTAGGCGAATTCAACTAGGGGTAGGTGTCGTTCCCAACTTCCTTGAAAATCCATCGCGCATGCTCTTAGCATATCTTCGAGTGTCTGGATAGTGCGCTCAGATTGTCCATCTGTCTGTGGGTGAAAGGCGGTGCTAAAAGATAGCTCCGTACCAAGAGCATCCTGCAGGCTTCCCCAAAATCGAGAGGTGAATCTTGGATCACGATCTGACACAATAGATACCGGAATTCCATGTAGTCGAATGATCTCCCCAATGTAGAGTCTACACATAGACTCTAAAGTGTCGGTCATCTTATAGGGTAAGAAATGCGCTGACTTGGTGAGACAGTCCACTATTACCCATATAGCATCGCGTCCTCTAGGTGACTTAGGCAACCCTGTCACAAAGTCCATCATCATGTACTCCCACTTCCATTCGGCTATCGGTAGAGGTTGCAACATTCTCCCTGGTTTTTGATGTTCCGTTTTCACTTGTTGGCAGGTCAGACATCTTGCTACAAATTTAGCCACTTCCTTCTTCATTCCATTCCACTAATACTGTCTCTTCAAATCTTGGTACATTTTAGTCCCTCCTGGATGTACCGTGAATGTAGAATGATGACATTCCTTCAGTACCTTTTCTCTACGCAACTCATTACTTGGTACAAACAACTTACCTTGGTATCTTAAACTCACATCGGGGTGAATTACCCAATCGGGCATGGGTTCTCCTGATTCCTGATGACCCTTGATGTAGGCTACCTCTTGATCGTGTTTCTGGGCCTCCATGACCTCATTCATCAACTTAGGCATCGCCTTCTGCGCACTAAGATATGCTCTTGTATCTTGAGATTTTACTTGGATCCTGAACTCATTGAGCGTCTTAACCATATCCCATTCCTTGACGGAGATCTTAGCCATCATCCCCCTGGTCCTGCGACTTAGAGCATCTGCTATTACATTGGCTTTACCGGGGTGATATGAGAGAGTGAACTGGAAATCCTCAAGATACTCCATCCATCGTCTCTGTCTCAAGTTAAGGTCCTTCTGCGTGAATAGATACTTCAGGCTCTTGTGATCTGTGAAAATCTCAAATTGTTCCTCGTACAGGTAATGTCGCCACTGCTTTAGGGCAAAAACTACGACTGTTAACTCCAAGTCATGCGTGGGGTAGTTGAGCTCGTGAGGTTTTAACTGCCTGGATCCATACGCGACTACCTTTCCATTCTGCATGAGTACGCAACCTAATCATTCTTTAGACGCATCGCAATACACAGTGTACCCTTTTTCTCGTTCTGGGATGGTCAAGATTGGCGCACTAGTTAACCTCTTCTTTAGCTCTTGGAAGGATTTTTCGCAAGTTTCGTCCCACTCATACTTTACTCCTTTTTGCGTCAAGCGAGTCATTGGTTTAGCTAGTTTGGAGAAATCTTGGATGAACCTCTGGTAATAACCGGCCAATCCTAAGAAGCTGCGAATTTCTGACACGGTTTTTGGTTGTCCCCAATCTAATACTGCCTCCACCTTGGTTGGATCCACCGCAATCCCATTCTCTGATGCCACGTGCCCAAAGAATTTTCACTTCATTCAACCAGAACTCACATTTACTCGTCTTGGCATATAGCCGATTTTCCCTAAGAACTTGAAGGACAGTCCTTAAATGTTGCTCATGCTCTTCTTCAGACCTTGAATATACCAAGATGTCATCAATGAACACTACTATAAACTAGTCAAGTGTCACGACCCAAACCCGGCCCTATGGGTTTAGTACCGTAACCGGCCAGTAATCCGAGATTACCGAAGGCCTGCTTAACAGTAATACAGTAAAACAGAGTACAGGGCCTGGCGGAAGCCAATACAGTAATTAAACAATGTCCAATGAGCTGTGACAGTCTGTATGCCAAAAAGATTTTTCATGCATTCATACATAAACAGTACAGAAAGCATTCCGTCTGTACAAAACAGTACGGTCTATACAAAATTTACAATCACACAGTACAGGGACCTAATCCCTTGATAACAGTACAGTAAACATTCAGTCTATACGGAACAGTTAGACAGTATGAAGACAGGCGGGGGAAAACAAACAAAACCCCCCCAAGCCATAGCATGGCAACTCGGAACCTCGCAGTGAGGCACAAAGGCGGGCTTGACAAAACTGGAGTAACCCTGACGCTCCTAGCTGCGGTCTGGTGCCTGAACACCTACATATATATATGAGTAGTGAGCTAAAGCCCAGTGAATAACATAAAGCGTAAAGGGGTTTAGAATGAATGTCCTTACAGTAATGAAAACAGTTCATTTCAATCAGTATTTCAGTTGCTCAGTACAGTAAACAGTCATATGTGGTACATCCATTAGCATAACAGTAACAGTAGGTCTTAAAAGACCGAACAGTAATGATGACCATCAGTCAGTAAACAGTAGTGGTTCCAACAAGGGAACCGACAGAGATCTCTGTAACAGTAACAGTAACAATAAACCGTAGATACTAAGGATGCCACAGTACAGTTCAGAAATAAAGGACATACATTCATTCAGTAATACCAGTTCAGTAAACAGTTCAGTTCAGTATTCAAAAGATAATCAGTTGAACATATCTTTACACAATTGTTACTCACAGAGTTCTGGGCTACAGTATGCTAGAGCGGCTCTCCAAAGAAGCACACAAAATCCGGGTGAAGTCAGAGCGGTTTTGGCTCTCTCCATCTGGCGCGTTGTATAAGAAGTCCTTCACCGGTCC